AGGGCTTGCGCTTTGGAGCAGGGTTCAGCATGGGATATGTACTTACCATTGGTGGAGTTTTCGTACAACAACAGTTTCCATGCTAGCCTGGGCATGGCACCCTACGAGGCGTTGTATGGTAGGAGGTGTTGGACTCCTACCTGCTGGTCTGAGGTTGGAGATAAGGAGTTATTTGATTTGGACTTTGTCCAAGATACTACCAAACAGATCCAGATGATCAGAGAGAAGCTGAAGCAGGCACAGAATCGCCAGAGGAGCTACTACGATGTCAAGCATCGTCCACTGGAGTTCAGTGAGGGTGAGCACGTGTTTGTGAGACTTTCACTGTCACCGGTGTTGGTCGGGCCCTCGGAGTGAGGAAGCTAAACCCGCGGTTCATTGGGCCATACCAGATCCTTGGTAGAGTAGGACCAGTTGCCTACCGGCTTGCCTTGCCTCCGAACTTGGCCAACATCCACGACGTGTTTCACGTGTCTCAGCTTCGGAAGTAAATAGCATATCCTTTGCACGTGGTGCAACCGATTGATGTGGAAGTTCAGGAGAATTTGAAAACTCCCGTCGGACCACTTAAGATTCTCGATCGTGGCGAGAAGCAGCTGAGGAGCAAGATCATTCCGATGGTCAAAGTGCAGTGGACCGGAAGAATTCCTGAGAAGTGTACTTGGGAGCGAAAGGACGAGCTTCTCCGGTAGTATCCCGACTTTTGAGACAGGTATATTCTGATTTTGAGGACAAAATCCTAAAAAGGTGGGGTGAATATAAGAACCCGCACCATTAATTAAGGAAGATAATTAATTAATTATGTGAAATTAGGAAATGATTTCATAATTGACCCTAATAATTATGAGAAGGCTTAAATAATTATTATAAGTGATTAATAATGTTGAAAGTCGTTTTTCTGACGAAAAGTGCAGATACCGGTTCTGCTACTCGGTATAAATGCGTACCGATCAAGTATCCCGAAAAATTATGAAAAGTGTGTATATGTCACTAGAATATTATATAGGACTTGTAAAACAAGTTTCAAGTTAAAATAATGAGAAATGGTGCCAGAACTAATACTGACTATGGAAAAGTGCGTACCGGAAAGGTGCTGCGAAAAATAATATAAAAATATGATAAATCTTAGAAAAATGAGTAGGTTCAGATTTCAAAGTTTGGAATTAAAATGTTAAGCGTAGCTATTTTTGTTAATACTGTGATATTAAACTTAATGTGCCTATAAATAGGCTTGTCACAAAAACCTAGGCTGATTTGGTTGCTTTTCTATGTGAGTTTTTGGTGTGCTTCAGCAGCCTTGAGCCTCCTCCATTGTCACCCTCATTTTCTTCACTTAAAACCTTCAAGTAATCACCTTTGTTCATGGTTCCTTCACCTAAATAGTGTAGATGAGTGAAAGCAAGCTTGTGAGTGGGTGTGGTCTCACTTTCTGAGTATGTGTGGTTGATGTTTGGGTGATTAAGGGGATGTGTTTCTAAGTTGTGAGGGTGAGGCTTTTGTCTTGGTTTTTTGAGCTCCAAGTTGTGAGCTTTGTGGAGAAAGGCACCATCTTGAGGTGTCAAATTCGTGGACCTTAGAGTGCAGTGCTGTGGGACTGTGTTGGAAGTTCCAAGGAGGAGTCTTTTTCTGAGTTTGTGAGGCCTAAGGTATACCATGATCATAGCCTTTGTGTTTTGATGAGTTTAGCTTGTTCTATCGGTTAAAAAGAGAAACTTTAATCATTTAATTAAAGGAATATGTTTCTGAGTTCATAATATGCTTATGAATATCTGTTTATGGAGAAGTCTGTTCGAATTTCTACATTCTGACGGAGAAGTATTCAAATACTTTTCAGGTAGTATTCGAATACTTGTCCTCTAGTAGTCGAATACTCCTTGCTGGAGTATTGGGATACTTTTCTGGGTAAAAAAGTATTCAGATACCTTGAAGAAGTATTTGAATACTGAGTAGTATTCGAATACTTGGGTGTTGGTATTCGAATACCATGTGGTATTCAAATACTTAAGTGAAAGTAGTCGAATACTTTCTGAAGAGCTGGAGTATTCGAATACTACTCGTGAAGTATTCGAATACCTTCTGCAGAAACAGCATGAAATGAGTTAAAATGAGATGGAAAGCCTTAATCACTTAATGTAACCTTGGTAAATGGTTATTGATGATTAATTATTGTATAAACAGATTGTGATTGTGCTGTTTGTGGGCTTTGAGCTTGTGTGGACTCTTGGTTTGGATAGTTAGCTTGCAAGGTAAGCTTTTGTGTCCTCGGTTTAGCCATTGTTTGTTCCACCATGTCCCACGGGGGATGGTTTATATGCATGATGTGTTTTCACGTATGGTTTTATTGAAATGCTATTGAGCTGTTAAGTGCAAATGACTTATGATATGTATATGGTGTTCGCCTAGACGGGCTGTAATCCTGTGGGCAGGTACGACATGGGCGTGTACTGTGTGGGTAATAGACGTATTCCTGCACTTCTCTGATCAGTAGAATAGTTATAACACACATGACATGATTATTTGATGCATTGCACTGGTTTTGGAACTGATATTGAATTACTGCTTTTAGAACTTATATTGCACATGTAAGTGAGTTTGGGGTGGAAGATCCTTGAGGACCCCTTGTCTTACTGAGATTTCTGTTTAGAGATCTAACCCCACGTTTGGGGCGCTTATTTCAGGTTCAGGTAACTTGGGGGCTGATGCCTCTGGCGGCAGGAGGCCGTAGCTTAGTTGATTTATATATGTTATATGCTGACATGACTGGATATTGGATGATGTTTATATTTTCTGTCATTATATGATTATTGAGCTAAGACTCTTTGTAGGCTTTGTTGCCTTATTTGGTGAGCATGAGGTTTGTCCATGCCACATTGATGATTAGTATGTTATTGTTGAGTTGTATAAACTATCAGGGTTTGTTCGGTTTACGTGTTGTAGTTCCGTGGCTAGAGACACATTTATGTCATATATATTTATGAGGTATTTCAGTTAGCTGTCTATTTGTAATTTACATACAGGCGATGTTTTGAAATGATTAAGTAATCAAGTTGGTAATTGATAATGACGTCATAATTGAAAAGAAAAAGAATATTCCGCGTTTTAATTTAGCGTGGCTTAATACGATGACATGTTAACAAACTGGGTATACACGAGGTGTTACACCTAACGAAGTAAAATATTTTCAGGATAATTGTTTAGTGAGGGTGAGACCTCTCTTTTATATATGGTAGATGGCAAGAGTCTCCAAAAGGGTTTAGAATTCCCCTTAATTATTGGTTCCAATGCTTAATGGGCCTAAGATGTAATATCCATAACAAAGTGCACTAAACGTTTTGAGTTGTTCAGAATCATCAGTTATTGATTTGATAATTAAGTAAAATTTTGTGTCTAGAGATTTCTAAAATAATAATTAATTTGATTTAGGATTTTTATTTAATTTTTTGGGTATTAATAAATTTGATTTGATTTTAATTTTAATTATTTGAGCTGAAAGTTTTATCATATTTATTTACCTATTTATATATTCTAATTGAGAATAAAAAAATTAAAATTATTAAAATAAAACGAATTTTATTTATTTTTAAAGTGTTCGTAAAATAAAAGTTGATTTATTTATTTCTTAATGACATAACAAAGAGCATTACAAACATAAACTACTACCCTTCAGTATCCTAACCAACCCCACCATAACGTAGAAAATTTCATAAAAGAGGGCTCTAAGCAGAGTGAGTCATGATCAAACTTTGCAACAAGCTAAAAACAATAACAAACTATAAGATTGCCACCCTAAAGTTTACCTATAAGATTGCTTCCCTTTCTTCAGCTTTGCCTCCCAACAGTTCCCCTTCCCTTTTTGATCACCTCAGCTTCCACACAAAGGCTCTATTTTTCTCCTCTCCAACAGCTTCTGTGATGCTTCCTCCACCCTTTTCCTTGTGTGGAATGGAGATAAGCTACCTTTGATATGCTTTTGTTCATGGTTTGCGCAAAGACGGCCCTATGTTCATGGTTTACTTGTATAAAGAACTATTTTAACTCAAACCCTTAAGCTATTGGGTAATAACATTTTTTAATGGTTTATATTATTCTGTAACACTCTCTCACAAAAGAGTCCTTTTGGACTTGAAGCGTCAAACTCGTGACCTCATGGTAACTGAAATTCTGATACCATGTAAAAAACCATCTCAACTAAAAATATTAAGGTATTACGTGATAGCATTTTTTAATGGTTTATATTATTCTGTAACACTTTGTATAAAGTGAAGCTTCCTCAACAAAATTATCATTTTGGGGAAGTGCCGCTGACAAAACTTCTTTCCACAGAAAAGTTATATGACCATCCAGAGTGCCAGAATGTTTCTCATGGAGCAGTAGGGACAATATAATAGTTGTGAAACGGCAACAAAGCTGGAGCAATAAGCCTATCAGAGAAACATTTAAAATGCATTCCAAATTTCTTTCCCACTTGTTGGTTAAAATGGAATTATAAGCCCAGTTAATCCATCTTTAGATTTGCGTCTAACTTAAATTTAAAGTAAAGGTAGACCCAAATTCCAAAGGATCATCACATAGTACCATATAAATGTGCCAAAATTATAATGGAGATAGGTCAGGAGGTTATATCAACGACGGAATCAATATTAATAGTAACTTCATGTGTGTTAGTATTCCAAAACACAAAATCTATGAGAATTAAGGTTAGTATATGATAAGGTTGAACACCAAGAAAGAAGAAGAAACCATATGGAGTATTATTTATGGGGTTTTAGTTTGTCCTTTAACATGACCAGAAAAACTTTCTTACACACAACATTTTGTGGGGCCCACACTTTTTAAAGCAAAAAAAAAAAAACTATGGCACGCAAAACGAATCTCTATAACATTACACAATCACTTTTCCTACAAAGTAACTTTTATAAAACTCATTATTTATAATGGTGAATCAGAGGGGATTCACAACCTCAGAACACAACTTCCATGAAACACAGAATTACAGACACAAAACTACTGATTACAGACTCCAAACCAGATCCTACAGGGTGGGTTCTGCCTGTTCCAGTCTCAGTTGCCCGAAGGTCCCAAGTTCCCAGTAATTTCCAGAATACCTCTCCAACTGCTGTCCTCCTCCTTTTATCCAAACCCCTGTCACTTTCGATTACATTAACCTCTTAACCACCTTAACTAACCAAAGCTGACTCAGCTATTCTGACATCATCATCAGCATGAGGTTGTGACCCTTGGTGCTTTCTCCTTTCATATTTCTTTCCAGACATTTTCCTATCCTTAACCATTTCAGTATACTCAAATTTTGGTAGTATATAGTACTTAGATATCCACATTAAAGAAAGACAGAAATAAGGACCTTAATCTATCAAATTAATAGATAGAAAAGGAAAAAATAAATCACATTCGCTACAAACTAACTAATTCAATTAGATAAAAATCTAACAATTGATAAAGATTAATATAGTCTAGAGTAACCAGGGTTAGTTCAAAACCAAATAGTATATCAGGTTAATATTGACAGTTAACAACACAAAGTGAAAATTTCAGTTGAAGGGGAAATATGTCAAACTCATAGACCACTACACCAGAAATTCTTGATTGGAGAATGATAAAACGACTTCATACATGCTCCCTAGAAGGAAATATACTAGGTGCTTCGTCTCCTTGTTTGTATGCCTAAATAAAAAAATAGTCACCTTCTGCTAAAGGCCTCTCCAAAGTCAATAGTACAATTGTTCTTATATTTTTAAATAACTTTCCCACAATATTTGAAGTTCAGAGAGAACAACACAATTCATCAATCTTACCCTTGGATGACAAATTGAAGTGAATTTTAATTTAATGTGCTCTACCTATTCAAATAAAAAGGAAAAAAAACCAAGATAGTGGAATTGTAGATAGCCTGTGAGTGGTGTAAGTAATGTACTAATGTTTCGGTATTACTAAAATTCAGCAACACAAACCATCAAGGAAAAGTAAAAATCATAGAAAACGAATTGTCAACTTCTGCAATCAAGTACAGCCAACTAAAAACTTCAATGAGTAAACTATATCAAGATGATCTATCTAACTTCTGACCTTCGTATGCATCCAACAGATGTGGCACATTTTTCTGAAATTGGGTCACATATCTCTTCAAAAACCTTTTCTCATCAATCGACAAAAAGCTACTCAAGTGCAAATCTCTCTTTATCAAACCCCTTGACTTCAAAATTTCAACTACTGTACATCTAGGGATAATTGTCTTCCCCAAGCTTCCGTCAAGAATCCAAGGGCATCTAGCAATGTCTTCTGAGGGCCAACCCATATCCTTCACCAAAAAATTCAGTACTTTAATAATCTTCTTTTCTGACAACAGCATACACTTTGGATGCTTTTTGAAAGCTAAAAGACAGATATCTCTAGACCAGCCCCACCTCTCAAAAACCTCTAATTTAAATTTCCACATTGCTTTATTTATCTTTGCAAGTACTTGAAGTGCCACAATAAATCTTGATTCCAAAGGATCAAACCCCATTTCCTTCACTGTCTCAACAGCCTCAACAAATCTCGAATGATTCATAAATGCTATATTAGCGAAATTGGTTACCAAGAGAGAAATGGAATCTTGAGGCAGGCCAAGCTGTCTCAAAGCCTCTATGTTTGGAACTGAATTACTTATTCCCTTACAACAGTGAAAGTACCATGCCCCATTCTTCAAAGCTGAAACTACTTCCTTATCACTGCGAACTAGACTCCTGATGATCTCATAACGTGGGATAATGTTGTTCTTCAAGCTTTTTGTTAGAAATGAAGGGTTTATAATGAATATTCTAGGGAGGTCAGAGGTTGAAACCCCAATAGAATGGAAGAACTTGAGTTTTGGCAAAAGGGTTTTCTCAGGTTTTGCAAAAAGCACTAAAGGGTGTTTCTTGACAAGGCTAGATAATTGGGTCTGAGAGAACCCATAGTTCCTGAGAAGATCAAGTACAGCATTTGGCCCATCTGGGTTTTTCAATTGCAACTTTTTGGAGAGTTTGAGGGCCATTTCAGGTGATAACCCACATGAATTGATGAGGGCTGATACCGTAAAGGAGCCACCTTGGTGGTGATTTGTGTTGGATACAGATAAAGAACGACAAGTGAAGAAAACAACACCTAAGTTGGGGGTCCTAGAAGTTAATCTAGAAATCAGAAAATGGTGCATTTTGTAATGAATAGATAGATGACTCACCCAGTTTGAATTTGCAGGATTATACGTCCTTCCGCGCATTCTTCACCATTCGCTGCCCCGAAGTGATTTCAACTTTGAATGAGAACACAACCATTTGGCAACGAATAAAAGTACGTGCGTTGAAAAGGATTACCGAGTTTAGGAACAAATGAAGGTGTTTGTGTTCAAAGGGTTATTATGACAAGAGTTTATAAGAGAAGTGAAAATGATTCTGGATGGGTTGTCGGTTCATTCACGGTGTCTGTTTTTGCCGTTACAAGCATGAAAAAAATATAACCAGAAAGCCTGCAACTAGCACCTCAAACAGTGATTTAGATAAGAGGGGTTCTTGTATTTCAAATGGGTCGTGGTTGGTAGCTTTAGCGACCTCAGGTGGATGGGTTTTTTTTTTTTACAAAAAAAAATATATATTAACCTAAGAAATGTTGGGAGTGAATCATCTCTGTTAATTAATATGATAATCTGATACGAGAGAATCGTAATCATATAAAAATGGATCAACAGCGATAAAAGATGAAAAATATTGGGATGAATAGTTATAAAATCATAATCGCTGATTGATTTTTATATAATTAAAATTTTTCCACGTAATATAATGACATTAAATAAAATATAAAAGATTCTATTCCAGATGAGTTATTCACAATTTGAAACCATGGTGAATTCGATTCATGCAAGTCACAACTCACAACTATGCGAGGGTGCAGAGATTAAAATTCGAAATCGGATTAATCTACCCCTTAGCCTTAGGACTTTGGACTCTGTCTAATATGTGCTAAACAAAGTAAAAAAAAAAACAAATTTTGTTTTTTTTTTAATGACATTTTTCAAAAAAAAGTTAAAGCTACTTTTTCTTTTCTTGATGGAGTATATAAAAGAACTTTTAAAAAGATAAGTGATTATCGTTATGGTGGTGGTAGAAGGAATATAAATAAGTTATGTCAGGTTATGCTTTAATTTAAATAAATAAGGCTTATTCTCAATAAATAAATATGTAAGACCTATAAAATACTTTGAACTTGCTCTAGATATAAACTAAATTTTAGATCTGGTTTGACTTGTATTCAAAAAATCGAATACAACATTTTTTAGAATTAGATATAAATAGATACAGTAATACCTGATGAGATAGGTTATTCTACCTACCATCTTTTCTACTTATCTTTTCCTACCATCCTCCAACATCATTAGATCAGAATCTTAACTAACATTTATCCTTCTCTCTCTTCTTTCCCTTATTTTATTATTTAAAATTATTAAAAAAAAATTATTTTAATTAAAATGAATAATATAAGAAAGGTTGGCCTATAGACTTGTACGTCAGAACTTCTCAATTTTGCTATGTCCTTCTCCACAACCAATCTTGAGGAATCTAGGATGTGAGTGAGTTAGATTAGGAAAAATCTTGAAGTTATGTGAATTGTATTCTTATGTTGGATTACTATAGTGTATGTATATAAAAACAGAAAACAAAGACGATAGTTAACAGGCGGTCAAATACATTTATATAAAGGGTGCTTACCAAGTGTTTAAATGTATGAAAAGGAGAAAAATAGTGTATTGTGTGTGAGAAAAAGAAAAACACAGGAAGAGTGCATTAGAGAATAAAAACAGAGTTTGTGTTCTACGAGAATTGCATTAGAAAATGCAATAGTAATTTTGTATTGATTTTTAGTCAAAATACTGACATAATAAATATCCTTTCTATTATCTTGCATCATTGTATTTCCAACAGAGTTTTTATACTGATTACTAAGATAAACTTCATGATTACTGAGATAAACTTCATGCTTATTATCAGCCCAAAGCATAAAAACTAACATAGTTCAAAAGTTGTCATAATGTAAGAAACTATGTAACTGAACTGGCTATAATGCTAACAAATTAATCATGTTCTCCTTTCAAAAAAAGAAGAAGCCCTAATCATGTACTCTGCACTGGCTACAATCTGCATCTTTGACATCATATTTTGCTCCAGCTCTCAAGAGTTACTCAATTTTTGGCTTGTCACCTTCAGATGCAACTAACAACACAGGGCGAATGTTTTGCCTTAGAAGAGCCTCCATTTTGTCATGTGGTCTGATAAGTCTCTTAAATGAGACTTGGAACATATGGTTTAAAGTGCAATTGGAGAGAAAAGAATAATTTTTGTTATTAAAATAACCCCAAAGTTATGTTGAGTTGTCTTTTGCTGGTTAAGTACTAATGGGCTGTAAGTTTCTCATTTTCAGGCCCATGTTCCATCTTTCGAATCAGAGAAGCCCAAATTAAAGAAAGGTAGGAAAACAAGAAATGGGCCAAGCAACTAAAATCAGAGACACCCAAGTGAAGAGAAGCTAAATGCAGAGAAAAGCAAATAAATTAAAAAGAAAGATAGAAACAAATGGGCCGGACCTTTGACTAAAAGCCCAAGTGAAGGAAAAGCAAAAAGAAAAGAAGGGATCGAAAGAAAGAGACAGAATCAGAAACGAAAAGAAAGTTCTTAGAAGAGAAACCCTAGCACACATCGTGCGAACAAGACCCACCTTCATTCGACCGAAAATCCACACCCTCCATCCAAAGTCCCTGCCACAAATTGACCCGTAAAGCCAGACCGCTCCTTGTTTACGGTTTATCCATCAAGTTTAACCCTCACCCACGGTCCACCAGGAGATTAATCAAACCCTAACCACTATTGCTTTATACAGAAAATGCCAAACAAAATCCTCCATTGAGTGGGTGAGCTGGATTCTGTTGTGAGTGGAGGCTGAAGCAATTTTTCGAATTGTGGGAGTGAGGTGTGGAGCAGCTGGGGACCACTGATGTGCAACGCTCTTCTAGCGTGTGATGCTTGCTGAGGTGTGAGTCAGAAATCCATACATACAAAGGAAGAAGGCTATATAAAGGGAAGGAATAGTGAGTGTGCGGGGCTCGCTGATTTTTCTTTATTTTTCTGTACCCTTTTATGCAGACTTTTATTTCCTCTGTTTTGATTTTGTAATGAAGTTTGTTCTCTGATTACTCATGTTGGTACAGCACTGTGGTTAATTCGATTGTTAGGACCAATGATGTAATTTAATTTTAAGCACTTTAAGATTCTGCAATTTCCAATTTCATTTGCTGTTTTTGAGCTCCATTCTTATGGATAGGAGCTAATCTTTTCTAGGTTGGGTGTAGGTACCCGAACCTCAGTTATGAACTTGTGCTGATTACTTTTGTTGAAAGTTGATTCCCTTTTTGTTTGACACTGTTTGAATTTAAATATTTTATTGTTAAGGCCTGATGGTAGGATATTATTTTAGGAATTAGCCATTGAGAGATGACTAAGTCCAGAATTGCGTTAAGGACATGGACTTGAGTGAGAGAGCACTCAAGGGATGTTACTCAGAGATGAGAACAGCCTCCATGTAATTTTGGATTGGACTATACAGGTCTTTGCTTCGTTTAGCACAGAGATGTGCAAATGTTTGTTTAGGACAAAAATGGTTTTAAGAGATTAAAAGCAATAAGAAAGAATCCATCACTTGAGAATTAATTTTTAGTGACTTGTAATTAGCACTCATTCAGAGACTGTTGGAAAGGGGAACCGAAACTCAACCTACTTTACAATTTGTTTTTCACCAACTTAGATTTATTTTCATTTGATTTTAAAAAAAACCTCACTTCTAATTCTGTTTACAAATATCTTTATATAAAAATCTTTTTCAATCAAATATTAATTTGTTGTCCTTCCGTTTTCCACTTTCTAATTCAAGAAATCAAATTTGAAAATATAAAAAATATACTTATAGTTACTGGTCAGTAGCATTTTAGATTAGTCAATTCCTTTTTATTGTTACCTAGGGGTGTCAATATGGGTTGACACGACACGAATTTGACACGACACGAATTCGACACGACACGAATACATCAACACGAACACGACACGAATTTTCATTCGTGTCAAAATCTTCAACACTGACACGACACGAATTTTTTGCGGGTTGACACGACACGACACGAATAACACGCAAAATAGGGGACAAAACGGTAATTAACAAAAAAAATTTTAAAAATAGATCGAAAATAAATAAAAAATTAAAAAATAATAATAAAAAAATAAAAAAATAATAATTAAAAATAATACGGGTCGACACGAACACGAATTCATAAACACGAACACGACACGAATTTTTTGCGTGTCATTTTTTCCAACACGAACACGACACAAATTTTTTTACGGGTCAACCCGAACACAAATTTTCGTGTCGTGTCGCGGGTCGACCCGCGTGTTAAAACCCATATTGACACCCCTATTGTTACCTCATTTTTAGATTAAATTCAGTTTTAGCAATTACAAAGTTTAATCAAGTTACACACACTAAAGATCCTTGTGGGAACGATAAAAGGGTCTCAAATACGCCCTGTATTATTTGTTGTCGCGTATACTTGCGCGCTACTTGCATAACTGTTAGCAAGGTAACATGATCCAAAGTTGAAGTACTGCAAAATATTATGATGTAAATATAAAGTTTCTTACTACTGTTATAACACAAAAGCATTTTCCCTTCCAAAACTAAAATTCCAAATGACAATACCTAAGGACAGTCAATAAAACAAGGATGAAAGGCATAACAATAGCACTGAATAATAGTGTTGCTGAAACTAAAAGTAGATTAGTTGGGGAAATTTGAAACTCAGAATGTCTGCAATAAAATCATTTGAAATTGTACAAAAGGAGGAATGTCAAATAAATACTATAGAGACAAACCCACGGTAGAACCAGTATCAAAATGGCAATGGCTATGCAGACCCTGCCAAACATATTTATCCTCTAATGCAGCATTGAATAGAGAAGATACTTAATAAAGGTATATTATTTTAACTGAACTATACACAAATAAATTTAGAGAAACTCTTATAATTTGTTATTACATATACGTGAAGGTCATAATTTTCTTTTTCCTATAAATTTTTTTATGTCAACTTGTGTAGTTCCTCCATCCAAACAGCTTTATAACAAAGTGGGAATGTGGGATATTCTAATGCAGAGAAAATTCAGGCAATGTGTATACTTGACTTATGTATGACAAATATCTATGTTTTGGGGTTCTTAAGATACAAAATTTATGATGAAATCAATCATATTATATCAGATATGTGCTGAGGATGATAGGATCTATAGTTCAGTAATTGATAACCAAATTATTAATTTCCTATTTAAATTACTTATTATAATTTACTTTCCTTGCTTTGAAGTTTAGATCCTCATAGAAAGTGTTACCTAACATTGTTAACCTAGACATCTTCCTTCTCCTGAACATATCTCATAAAAAGTGTTACTTAAATTCTCACCACAGTGTTTCTACAGATTAAGTATTCAGCCTTTTTCAGTTATACATAATGTAGATGAACTAATCTCCTTTTCGTGTCATTTACAAGCAAGAATTTTGAGATGAAAACTAAATCATTTTGATAGATTTGACATGACTCCAGTGTAATTTAAAGTTGGACAAAAGCAGACAGATTTGAGCACATATTAATCAGAGTAATCCCAACCTAATAAATTTTTCATCTTTATGGAAGAAATACAAAATTACTGATCTATCTTTATTTTCTTCAATAATATTTCTTCTTCCTTTTTACCTTTCCCTTCCCCAGATTTTTCTCTTTATATATACAAAAAATTACATTTATAGAATTCTCATACTGACCTACTATAAGAAATTGAAAATCATAGTGAAACACATCACTATCATAAAAGATAAAACAGATACTAGTAAAGCATAAGCATAATCCTCCATAGTTGCACAGGTTCAAGATTCCCAAACTACTTTCATCTTTCTTATTCCTTACTAATTGTAAACTCCTAGCTCGGGAGAGGAAAAAAAAAACAGATAAATAAACAATGACCGTCGACTATAACTATAATCACAAGCACAAGTACGACACAATTCCATACGCAAATAACAAATTGAATAACTTGAAAAATTCTAATTATCACCCTGTTCAACAACATCATCTCTATTGAAATCTGAACATTCTTTACTTAATGATACTTGCACAGTTTTTCAATTATATATAAGTAAGTTAATAGATAATACTATATTATTTGTACCACTTGATCTCTTACAATTGGAAGTATATGGATTCCATCTTCAATCAATAGAAGATTCTTCATCATCTTCTTTTCGCTTCTTCTAGTTGCACCTTTATCACAAACAAATTCAAAAAATTTAGTTAGGAAGAACTATTTTCTCACTTTACACACTCAAATAAAGTTATCAAATTCTACATTGAAATCAGCTAATAAAAATTATTTTATGTTGACTGATTGAGTCCCATCCACGATTACGAGTGTGGCACTGTGTCCACACAAAAAAATTCCAAGAGGAATCTATATTCAATATTGAACACGATTACTCCAAACATGAGCACATTGAACAGTCTCTGAATGTCTCAAATTCAGGGCATATACTTGACCACTCTCAGCTTCATGGTTCACATTTGACAATATTGGTAGCTCGTGTGATTTGTGGCCTTTCCAGAATTATAGCAGTAACATTCATCTTTTGAGGCTACATTAATTGTCCACGAAAAATCAAGAGCAAATTAAATATAAAGAAGATATGAGACATACTCAAAATGATGTTTGAGTTGGTTGGTTGGTTTGTCTGTCTGTCTCGTGATCCAAACATTGTTCTAAATAATTATCAACATTAATACCAATTTTACCCTAAACTAGTTGGAGTTTGCGGTTGATGAACCCAAATATATAAAAAAAAAAAAAAAAAAAACTAAACTAAGGTGAAAGAAAAATAAATAAGATAGAAGAAATAAATAAATGAACTATGGAAAAAACCAAAAGAATCAAGAGATTTTATGTCATTACTCCTGGTTGGCAGGAAAGATGAGTCACCTGAATTGCTCTCAAACTTGGAGCCGTTTTGGGGCATTCATCTATATGGAGTTTTTGAAGTTTCACGGCGTGTAACTTAGAACCATGGCAGATATCAACAAAACTCGACAGCTCTTTCAGTTCCATCTCTGTTAAGTTCGGAAGCACAATTTCTCTTTCATTGATAGTGCCGTCTTCACTGTTATGTCTAGAAACCTCTTCTAGTTGAGTAGCCTCTGATATATCAAGAATGCTTAATTTTGGAAGCATTTTAACCACAGCAACAGTGAAAAAAGGCTTTTCAATTTGTTGCAGTTTTTAATGGTTACATTTGTTATCTTTGGAAAGAATACTTCAGCATTGGATAGGTGCTCGAGTTCTTCATTTTCTGCAATGATTTGTTCCAATTCTTGGCAGTCGTATATATGAAGCCACATCAACCCTGGTAGGCTCCTATGTACTTCCACGGGGAAAATATATTTCAAGTTTTCACATTGAAACACTTGAAAATGCTGAAGACATTGGAGACTCAAAATCTGTCCGGGAGTAGGACCTACCCATGATATAAGGTTCAATTGAGGCAAACCTCGTAACTCTAGAAAGCATAAGTGCTTTTGCTGGTCCTTAGAAAGGATAATTTCCTGAAAATAGAATATTCAAAGTTCACTAATAAGTAAATGGTATAAATAACACAACTATAAAGCATCCCATGCAGATTGGAAACATAGTCAAATTTATATTCCGATAAATGTATAAAATTAAATTAAAGGAAATTTTTCATGTCAAAAAGAGAAAGTACTTCATCCATATGCCGGTGTCTTTGCTCAGAGGCAGCCATCACAGCAATCCATGATGTACTCAATTTCAGACACTGCACAACAGTTAGCTTCCTCTGAGATGGCCACTTTGCACCATAGTTTTCAGGATATATCCCAATGAGATATTTCAAGTCCATCAAGATTGAGAACTTCCAAATGAGGAAGCATAATCTGGTTCTCGCTTTGGTGTGATGAATTATCTCCATGATCACATTCACCAAATACATATTTCAGCTCAAGATCCTCCACTATTTCTACGTCTTCCGGTCGTGCAAGTCCTTCAACACAACTCATTGGGAATATGGACTCTAACTTCTTAGGAAAAAATATGCGAACTTTCTTCAAATTCGGCATCACAAAATGAGAAACTTGAAAAGGGTATTCTAATATATTATAGAATTGTAAATAATCTGTACAAAGGGTTCTCTATTTATAGAGAATATTTGACCTACTTTTAACCTAATGGGTTTGGCCCAATACAACAAAGAACTTAGCCCAATACAACAATAAATGACTAAATAAAAACTAAATAATAACTAAATCAATATTATTTACAACACTCCCCCTCAAGCTGAGGAATAAATATTTATCATTCTCAGCTTGCTAGTAAGTTCTTGAAATCTGTCTGAAGGAAGCCCCTTTGTTAATAGATCAGCCAATTGACGCCCAGTGGGAATGTATGGAGTAGTAATCAACCCGCTATCAAGTTTCTCTTTGATGAAATGGCGGTCAACCTCAATATGTTTAGTCCGATCATGTTGAACTGGATTATGAGCTATACAAATAGCGGACTTATTATCACATAGCAGCTTCATAGGTCCCTCACATTTTATTTTGAGATCATCAAGAACAATTTTCAGCCACAGTAACTCACAAATGCCTTGAGCCATAGCTCGAAATTCAGCTTCTGCACTTGATCTGGCAACCACATCTTGTTTCTTACTTCTCCATGTCACCAAGTTACCGCAAAGAAACATGCAATAACCAGTGGTAGAACGACGGTCAGTCACGGATCCAGCATAATCAGCATCTGTGTAGACTTCTAAAGATAGATTGCCATCACGTCGGAATAACAATCCTTTACCAGGAGTACCTTTAAGATACTGAAGAATTCTCTCTACTGCCTGCATGTGTTTTTCTTTTGGATCGTGCATAAACTGACTGACAACACTAACAGCATAAGCTAGGTCTGGTCTAGTATGGGCCAGATATATCAATTTCCCAACTAGCCGTTGATATTGTCCTTTATCAACTGGAGGACTCTCTTCTTCATAGCCCATCTTGTGATTCTGCTCAATAGGAGTATTAGAGGATTTACACCCGAGCTTTCCTGCTTCTTTGAGAAGATCAAGAACATATTTCCTCTGGCTGATAAAAATCTCTTTGCTTGAATGAGCTACTTCTATCCCTAGGAAATATCTCAGTTTCCCAAGGTCTTTGATTTCAAACTCAGAGGCAAGCCGTGTTTGCAGAATCTGTCTCTCCACAAAATCATCACCTGTGATAATAATATCATCAACATATACAAGGAGCACAGTAAGCTTCCCATTTTGGGAGTGCTTGAAGAAAAGAGTGTGATCTCCTTGGCTCTGTCTGTATCCTAAGGTCATCATAACCTTAGTAAATCTTCCAAACCAAGCACGAGGTGACTGCTTCAATCCATACAAGGCCTTTTTTAATCTACAAACTTTATTTTCCCCCTTCACAGAATCAAAACCAGGCGGGATTTCCATGTAGACTTCTTCTTCTAACTCACCATTGAGGAAAGCATTTTTCACATCAAATTGATTTATATCCCAATTGTAATGGGCAGCAAGGGATAACAAGATTCTCACTGTATTCATCTTTGCAACTGGAGCAAAGGTTTCTTCATAATCAATGCCATAAGTTTGAGTGTAACCTTTGGCCACTAATCGAGCCTTATATCTCTCAAGAGTGCCATCAGAATTATATTTCAGGGTATAAACCCATCTGCACCCTACTGCTTTCTTTCCGTTGGGTCTATCAATAACCTCCCATGTTTTATTTTTCTCCAAAGCATTCATCTCCTCTTGCATGGCTTGAGCCCAATTCCTATCTTTCAAGGCTTCATGTACTGATTTTGGGATTGCAATAGAATCTAGTGCTGAAACAAAGCTTTTATGCTGCACAGAAAGATTAGCAGAGGAAACAAAGTGGGAGATAGGGTATTGAGTACAAGAGGGACAGGAGGAACAAGTTTTCTTGTGACAAGATCTTTTTCCTTTTCTAAGAGCAATAGGTAAGTCATCAGAAGTAGAAGCAATGGGTAAGTCATTAGAGATATCAGAAGAAATAGACAAATCATGAGAGGAAATAATATTAGAATCAGAAACAGGAGATTCAGAAGAAATAGGAGATTCAGAACTTACCAGTGGTTCAGACGATTGAGGTTGCTGGTGAGACAGTATGGGTTGTATCTCAGGTGTATTTGAAGGTTCTGACACACCAGGAGCAGACACACTAGGAAGAGAGAAGATTGATCCAGACTCAAAGAAGGAAGGGGACGAGTCTTCTGAAGAACTATTCTCCCCCTGACGATGAGGACCCAGGAAATAAGATTCAGATTCTTGAAAGGTGACATCCATAGAAACAAAAAATTTCCGACTTGGTGGATGATAACACTTGTACCCTTTTTTATAAGGGTTATAACCAAGGAAGACACACTTAAGAGCCCTAGGATCCAACTTACTCCGATGTTGTTTATGAACATGGACAAAGGCAACACATCCAAACACTCTTGGTGGAAGGCTCTGCAATATGGGAACAGAAGGAAAGAAGGAAGTCATGGAATGAATAGGACTGATATTGTTTAGGACCCGTGAAGGTAAACGGTTGATCAAAAAAGTTGCAGCTAATACTGCTTCTCCCCAATAAGAACTAGGAACAGATGTCTGAAAAAGTAGTGCTCTAGCAACTTCAAGAAGGTGACGATTTTTCCTTTCAGCAACCCCGTTTTGTTGAGGGGTATCAACACATGTGAGCTCATGAATCATACCTCTGTCTGAAATGAATTGTGACAGGCGTTGATTGACGTACTCAGTACCATTATCAGATCTGAGTCTTTTAATACCCTTACCAAACTGAGTCTCAACCATGTGATGAAACCGAATAAATATCTCTGGTACTTCAGACTTGTCTTTCATCAAGTATATCCATGTTATCCGAGTACAATCGTCAATAAAAGAAACAAACCACCTAGCACCTGAAACACTGTGCACTTTAGAAGGGCCCCAAACATCAGAATGGATAAGAGAAAAAGGTTCTCTGCTTTTAATAGTGCTAGAAGGAAATGACACTCGATGGTGTTTTGCAAATTCACAAACATCACAATGAAAGGTCTCAACCGACTTATTGAGAAATAGAGAGGGGAACATAGACTTCAAAAGACTAAATGGTGGATGCCCGAGACGCTTGTGATGGAGCCAAATCATAGACTCTGCAGTAGAAGGATGACGTGTCATTAATAACTGATTTTTGCTAGCATGGTCTGGAAGGAGATGATACAACCCATCCTGTTCATTAGCAACTCCAATTGTCTTCTTCGTGGTAAGATCCTGAATAAGACAATGAGAAGGAAAAAATGTGATAGAACAATTCAAATCAGTTGTAAGTTTTTGAGTGGAGATAAGATTAGTAGAAAGCTGAGGAACATAAAGAACATTTTTAAGAAACAAGGAAGGTTGAATTTGAATGTTACAAGAACCAATAACTGATTTATGGGATCCATCAGCTACGGATATAGTATGACTACCAACAGTAGGATGATAAGAACAAAATAACTCAGTACGACAAGCCATATGATCAGTTGCACCAGAATCCAAAATCCATGAGGTTTTAAAATCAGTGCAAGAAGCAAGAAGAGATATAGAACGTGTGCTCTTACCAGATAAGATCGAAGAACTATCATGCTCAGCCATTCTTTAACAAAAAAAGTTAACAACCAGCGATAAAATCAACCAAACAGAATATCAAATGACCTCTGATCAGAAAAATAATTACAGATCCAGACAGAAGACAAGAAGACGAGAAGAATGGTGGTGGTCCGGTCCAAAAACACGGCCGCACGCGCCTCCACGCGCCGGAGAAAGGAGCTGCGCGTGGGATTCACTCGCCGGGAAAGGGGCGGCGCGTGAGAGCGCGTGGATGGGCTTCGCCGGCTGAGATTTTTCTGGTGTGGTCGTCCGGTGAGCGCACACCTGTCTGTGGGTGGTCACGGTTGAAAAGTCGCCGGAAAGTGGTCCAAACGGTGAAGACAGATCTGATTGGAGGCGATCGGAGGTGTTTCGGTCGTTTGTGGCGGAGGAACACTGCGTAGAATGATAGATCGGAGGAAAAATAAGGTCAACAATGGTCCCCTTGGTCCAAAAGGTCCCCGGAAAAATTTTCCGGTGGCGGCTAATGGCGGCAAGAGGCAAAGAAATTAGGGTTTTGTTAAAAAAGAAGATAATATGTGCGGAAGCAAAGCCCTCAGATCGAGAGCTCTGATACCAACTTGAAAAGGGTATTCTAATATATTATAGAATTGTAAATAATCTGTACAAAGGGTTCTCTATTTATAGAGAATATTTGACCTACTTTTAACCTAATGGGTTTGGCCCAATACAACAAAGAACTTGGCCCAATACAACAATAAATGACTAAATAAAAACTAAATAATAACTAAATCAATATTATTTACAACAGAGAATTCCTAGGAGCTGAAACTACCTCCTTGCTTGTATTAGAGCCATCCTCTCTTCCTCCGCTTGCAATTATATGTTTCAATTCACCACAAAATTCTATATTTATCAGTTCTAACTGCTACAGACTTTGGGCAACAGACATTGAGAACAGTCCTTCACCTGAAGTGCAACTACCGCAACTTCATATTGTGAGGATGTTAAGATTTCGCAAGTTACATTCCCATGGAAATATGCTATGCAAATGCGGGCAATCCCATATATCGAGTTTTTCTAATTTGTCTAAGAGGTGTAGAACTTGCAAAGGTGGACATCGACATAATTCTTTCAAGTTTTTCAATCCAGATAGCTCTAGCTCTCTTGGAATCAAAGCATAATCAGAGTCAGAGGTTCTATCAAAAAGGCATTCTATCTCTGTGCAATCCTCGAGACAGAGACTATTAAAATCATTCATGCCTCCCACAACTCCAATCATCTATGGGTTGATACTTTTACATCCTCCATGAAGGCGTTTCAAATAAACTGTCTCATCTATTTGCAAAAGATTTGATTTAGATGCCCCCAAGATCGAGATATTAAAATCCATTAGTTCTAGAATTGTCATGCTTCATGCAAGACTAGTACGTATCTCTCTCAATTATTCAGTAAGTATTACAAACCTCTGTAGCCTTGGGAGAGTAATAATATCCATGACTCTTTGAGAAAGATAGTTTTCTGGCCAGTACCCTAAAATATATAACTCTTCTAGTTGTGAACATTTCCATATGGCTCCATTATAAATTTCTTCAAAACGACATCCTGACAAATCTAGCAACAACTTCAATCTTGAGTTTCCCTATTTCGATAGGAAGTTCATTTAAGTTACAATCTCATAATTCCAGAACCTCAAGTCCTGTTAGGCATGCTACGAAAGAAATGTGACCTAACTGCCATCCATTCAAGCGCCGAGTTCGAAGATTTGTCAACAACCGGATTGATTAAGGCAATGACAATGATGGTTGATTATAGTAAATATCATTGATTAAAGAAAAAACCTTGAGCTCTTCTATTCCTTCAAAGGTTGAATGTGATGAATTTAAGGAAACCCAAGTATCTAGCAAAAGAATATGAAGGTTTGGAGCATCCAATTGAAGAGAAAGTTTATTTCCCTTGTACCATGAGGTTACCACAAAAAAATATCTTATAATATAATCCTCTGCCAAGTTACTAAGTGGTTTGTCAAGATTTACCAAAATATTATGATC